ATCAGAAATTTACCGGCGAAAGTTTTTTTTTGTGAGGAAAATCTTTAGCACGATAGAGATTCGAGCGTACACACAGAAAAATATATATTGTACACAAATAATACTGACTTCTTCCAAGTATTTCAAAAGTATTTCATATATCTGCAAATCTATTTTAAGTTCATCACAAGCATCCGATTTACTCAAAGTATATTCTGAATTCTAGAAAATTTAATATTTTCAATCAAGAATATTAAATTAAATAAAAAATTCGATTTACTTAAGAAGAATTCTTCCTTTACTTCAATCAAATATCATATTTACTTGTAATAAGAAAATTGCAATTATATCTTAACGAAAAAAATAATTTTTTTGTTATTATTGCTTTTTATTTTTCCAATTTAATTTATATTTTTACTGTTTCGCATACTCATATTCTTATTAATTACAAGTAATTATTAAAAAACACATCGCATTGCCGGCAAGATTTGAACCTACGATCCCTTAGAATGATAAACTTAATACATTTACGCTGAGCTAATCGCCACGCTTGTGATCGAGTCATTGCCAACAATATATTTCCTATTGTAATCATTTTTAATTTTATGATGACAGTTTCATATTATTATTTGATGAAATTATATGGAAACGAAATAATATGCTGATATTTATTAATTCAAAATAATTAAGATAAATATTATATGAAAAAACACCATTATAGAATAATATAAAAGTCATGTTGCATGCACAATTTGATCCCAAAATAAACATTTATTTAAATATGTAATTAATATATATAATTGAAAATATGAATTACTTCAAACAAGAAAAAAATTTCTTGTTTCTAAACTAGTTTCGCTTTTCCTAAATCTGTATAGAATTGAAAGAAATATACCAAATTTTTCTGACCAAATAAAATTTTCTTACATCAATATATTATTAAATATTCAAGTTAATCAAATCTGACTTTTCTTTGATAAAATTTTATAATATACTTCAAAATAAGAATAAATTCTTATTTTGAGTACCTGATATTGAGTATTATCTAAAACTTGAGATAAATACATTTTAAGACTATTAGCGAGAAAATATTTTTGATTGAAAGTAACTATTACTTAAAAGAAGAAAAATAAAATGAATAATTGTTTTTCTTGGCAATAGAATGATGTTTTTCTGTGTACGTATTTGATTACCCAAAAAATTAAGTTGAGAACACGTCTCCAAATTTCACGATACAACAATCAAGTTTTATTTCTACATATAAACAGTTTGCTTACAAGATAATTATCAATTCGTTCGATACGTGTAGAATGACGCACAGCGGGAAACGCAGCTCGTCCACCAAGAGTCGTGCCTTCGTGAATGATATCACTTATTCTCCTATAATACGTCGTCAACATCCGCCGCAGCCAATGTATGCGTTGCGCGCGACTCGCATCTGAGCGAGAGGTGTGATTCACATCATCATTACAAATCACCGAGGTAATTGCGTTATGTAAGCTGAGTGTATTACGAGTTCTCTCCCTCTCCGTCCCTATCTCTCATTCTGTTTCTTAAATTTTCTTCTTTCGTATTTAGTCAAGATATATATTATAAATTATTGTGCACTTGAAGGGATTATACCCCGAAGATTACTTAATAAATATCAATTCTCTCTCCCTCTATTAAATTTTCTTTTTTTGTATCTAGTCAATTTATGTAAATTACAGTGTGTTTGAAAGAATTACGTCTTGGAGCGTTTAATAAATATTTCTCTCTCTCTCTCTCTCTCTCTCTCTCTCTCTCTCTCTCTCTCTCTCTCTTTCTCTCTCTTTCTCGCTCCTCTCTCCTTTCTCTTTCAAGGGGGTTATATTGGAACGAATTCCAGTTACCACTGTCGCGAAAGAGAGCATTCACTTCTCTCGTTCTCTTAACCCGTAATAATCAAAAATAGCAGCACTGAACTTCAATGCATCTGGAACTACTCGATACACGAATCTCATAGATTCAGCCAAAATGCACAAACTCAACAAGGTTTTGTCACGTAAAACAAATATATGTATAATGTATATGTACACATACACACATGGAATCATTTAAATTAATATACGCAAATATCTCAGGATAAAAAAATATTTTTTCAAATCTTTCAAAAAATTTTATGATTTCAAGAGGAAAAGAAGATGGTGACCTTCGTTGACCTTAAAAAGATGTCCTTAAGATCAGGTCAAGGTTGCATAAACTTGTTTGAATGGAATCTCCCATTTTTTACTGCATATTCTTGTAGTTTGTTTCAAGAGTTTTCTAAAACGCTATAATAAAGTATTTTTTCATTAAGTACATTTTTCGAGTTAAGAGGTTTGAAAGTTACGGTACTGTCGGCATTTGCATTCTATCTAAGGTGTCCGACTGACGGCTAAAAATCTTTTGAATTGAATTTGAAAAATTTTTTGCTTGGAATCATGACTTTGATATCATATGTCAAAGCCATTGTAGATTATTCCTCTTATTTTCATTTATGCACTAAAAATTTATTTTTACGTAAAAATACAAATAAGAGGAGGCAACTCAACCTCTAATCAAGAATAATAAAAATCTCGATTAAAAAAATTTTTTTCGTTCTTAGTATAAACTTCACAGATGCGTATTAATGCGTTTTGGGAAAGAATTTTCAAATTAATAAAAAAAGGAATAAGTGATTGTTAAAAAAAAATATTGCGTCTAAATAGATCGTTTTAATAATATTTATTTGTAAGCCCATTAGTTGCCAATCAATATGGATCATCTTGGTATTAATCTAATTATGTTCATATTGTTAATTTATTTTATATTAATTTGTGACTTATACCTGACTATTTATATTAATTATTATTAATTAATGACTTCTGAACATTATACGTTATGTATAATGATATGCTGTGAACTTGAATTTGAAGTGACTCCGTATAATGTTGTAACTGTGGTAATCAACATTTCTTTCCTTTGAAGAATTCAAATCAATTTTTTACCTCATTCATAAGATCGTAGCACAATACACGACAATTCACATGAATGATTGATATGAATCTTTTATGATGGTTTTTTATTCTAATTATTAATTATGTGTTGATAATGAAGTCAAAACGTACACATTTATATATTATCCGGCTAATTAAAATTTGCGACTTTAATTTCATATGTTGTTCAATTATTAAAGTGTTTGTATTGCAATTTGCGCATTATTTACGCCGATTTCTAACGCTCTTTTTTTTCTAAAACTGTTAATTTGTTTGTTGAATTTGAAAGTCCTATTATTGCAATGTTTATATGTATATAAATTGAAACTATGTACTTTCAAAATGAACTATACTATTCGAACAGCTTGATGTTAAAATTTAAAATGCCTATTTACCTGCGAAATATCTTATCAGTTCATTTCCATGTCACAACTCTTCCGAGCGCTTTTAAAATAAAATTTTATAATTATCTTCGGCTGAGTCACCCGAATAACAGATTTCAACCTATCAGAAACCACATATTCTGATAGGTTGAAATCTGTTATTTCCTGTTCCTGTTGTACTTTTCAATTGTTTCGAGCTTTATCACATAAATAACGCGGTTATTTATTTAATTATTTATCGTGCCGACTTCTAACATATATCTTTCTTTTTAACTATCAATCTGTTTGTTGAATTTGGAAGTGTTATTGTGTTTATTATTATATTTATATGTAAACAAATGCACTTTTGCAAATACACTTTTCAGTTCTATAAACCTCTGTGCTTATCTACAGTTTTATTACAGCTTTTTCTCGTATTTTTGGTTCTTTTCTCAGAGCCAAAGTTTACAGAGCCATTCTGGAGCACGTAATAAATTAATATCTATCTACATACGAAAATCATGGAAGACTGATTAGAAGCAACTGGTGTAAATTGCAATCCATTCGGTGTCTCGCCGTGAATATCGCGCGATGAAAAGTTTCGCTCAGCTCCACTTCTCGTTCCACAAAAAGCTAGTGATCTAGTGATGCCATTTTTTGAAAAATGAATCGATTCCTAAGAATCGATTTATTTTTGAGGCCACAATTTTTATAATTGATTCCAAAGAATCGAGTTATATTGAGCTTGTTATTATTGAACACAATTTTCAATTATTATTGAACAAAATATTTTTGAACACAAAGAACAAAAAAGAAAATACGAGAAGAAAGCACGACTTTCAAAGGAAGAATAATGTAGCGCAATAAATAAAAATAAGTGGATATTTCTTTTTATCCTATTCATTCGTCTATCGTATAATTGTTGTCAGCTATTTCTTTCCATTTGTGAACAGCTTTTTACTGTCTGTCTCGATTTCTAGATGGGATTCTCGTGGAGAGACATGTTGAATGTAATTGGTTGATTCTACAGATAAGATAATCTATCATATATTCAATCGTTTGACGATCACATTGGGGAATTTTTGCAATACCGTATATCCAGATGCGATGAACGCTAAAGTCACGTTATTTAATGAAAAATCAAAACTGCGCATGCGCAGTTCGACTTTCCACTAAATAACGTGACTTTAGCATTCATCGTATCTGGATATACGGTACTGCAAAACTATCTCTATCATCTCTCCTCGATTCTAACTAAAAAGGAAGCGATGATAAATCAAATTTCTCAGAATTGGCTGACAATTGGATTCTTGAGTGTGAAAAAGAATCGATTCTCGATGTACATCGAATCAAAATCTGACATCATTAGCGTAACACACGCTAGAAGCTAGCGAGAGACCTCGATTTAAACGCGCGTACATATCGTCGAATGCGTCGAGTGCTCGCGCCGAATAGGGAACGCGATGAAAAAAAGCGCGCTTCGGCAACGGTGGCGATGACGACGACGACGACGACGACGACGACGACGACGACGACGACGACGAGGACGACGACGCTCGTTATTGAGCGAGCCCGAAAACGCCGTACTTTCGTTTACGTGCGTACACGTAGAGGATGGAGGACGACGCCTCGGCGCGTCGTCGCGCCGATGTCGCGCGCGCGCGCTCTCGTCGTTCTTCCTCACCTTTTTTTTAGCGCGAAAGTCGTGTCTCACGCCCGGGTGCTCTGCAGTGGTGATGATGACGATGACGACGACTACGACGGCGACAGCAACAGCAGCGATGCGGTAATCCAATATGGCAGCCTACACACATGTCAAAACAAACGCACCGATGCGAGGAGCAAGAGTGGAGCGCGCCGATCCGGGGTCGTGAGTCGTGACGTCGTGTGTGCTCCGAAAAATTCGAATCGTCACGGCCGATCTCCGGACTCCGACGCCGGCACGTGCCGACGATGTGCGTCGCGTAATGTCAGGCTGTAGATCACTATCGTCGTGATACGAACGCGCGAATGACGTACATGAAGCGGAGAGACGATGAGAAAGGAGGAAGAAGAATGCTGGCCTTCGAGCGCAATAAACGATACATACTCTATGAGCGCCCGCCACCGACTAGCAGCCAGCCACTGGCAGCGAGAAGTGAGACGCGCCAGCCAGCGGGGCCAATAGTGGGTGCAGGACGACTAGGAGGGAGGGGAAATCGGCGAGACCTCAGTGGCGCTCAATCGAGACGGACATCCCGGACTCCCAATCATTCTTCATCCTTGTTTATTTACGCTCTCCTTTGCGTATTGATAGAGAAGGAGGTGCTATTACGACATCACATTTACATTTTATACAATAACTTCATTAATAATCAATATTTAAATGTAAAATTTAACAAATACGTTTGTCAAAATGTTATTTGTTCAATTAACTCTAGACTCAAAATTACGAATTACATTTAATATTTAGGACACTATAAAAATGTGGTAGTACGCGTAATGGCTCGACGAGAAACAAGGACGGCTTTCCATAAAAATAGATTTGAAAAATTAATTTTGTTTAAAAAAGCATTTGGTTACAAAAATAATAAAAAAATTAAGTACAAAACGTATCCAAATTATATAAACATACGTATAACTTCTTCCGTATACAGGTACGTAGGTTACGTAATACTAAAAATCTATAGTACATGCAACATAAACTATAGATTAACAGAGCTCTGATCGATTTGTGGAATAATTATTTTATGAAATCTTTGAGAGAGAGAGAGAGAGAGAGAGAGAGAGGCCGTGAGCAATCAACAATTACTTAGGAAGCCACATTAGCGAAATGCCATTAACTTTGCATAACTCAAAATGTATACAACCAATTAAATAACAAAGAATACTCAAATATATATGTATATATTCGTATGATAATATCAAGTTTTAGAAGAATGAAGAAATATGTGTAATTAAATGATAAACTGTACTTTAAAAACGAAATGCTTGAGAGTAAAAATGCATTATAAAAAATACTGATTATTGTATATTGGCATATTAGCGTCATGGTGTAACGGCGAGCTATTAAACAAATTATTCTATAAGTAACCGCTAAAATTCGCCATTTAATGGTGGAGATTAAGAGAGGCCATAATATGTACACTGGCAACATAATACCACCTTCTCCTCTACATCACAGAGAAGAATGGGAGAATTGCTGATACCTAAGGAAAGAGTTAAATAAAACTGTCAATTATTTATCAATTAATAAATATCTTTATTCCAAAAATACTCTGTAATTTATATTTAAACTACAATAATTAGCATTCATATACATATAATCAATATTTATAAATTATAATTTTTAAAAAACAAATCCTTATCGTTCGAAATTATTCGTCATCACGCGGAGTAACACCAAATCAATTTTTGTCTTTTGTTTATAATTTATATTAATAATATTGTATATAAATGTTTATTATTGTAATTTAAAGTCAATATCCTTTAAATAAAAAATATTGACTTTAACTTCTGTAATTGATAAATAATCGCCGGCATTATTTTTTCCTTAGATACTCGCAAGTACTCCATTATTCTCTACGTCAAAATCATCGAAAACATGTATTTATCTTAACTGTGTTGTAATTTCAACGGTCACATATGTA